CTCCTCGGAGCTGTACCCCAAGGACATCCTGACCTACACTGAGCTGGTGCTGGACTCTCAGGGGCACCTGGTGCAGATGAACAGGGTCCCTGGAGGGAACGAGGTAGCAGGGGGATGATTTGGGAATGGGGTGAGCAGGGTGGGGGGAAGCTGTGCTGCAGCAGGTGGGAATGGCTGGGGGCTCCCTTGGTTGGAGGCTCCTCCCCGGAGCGGTTTGTCTGTTGGTTTAAAAAAAAAACTCCAGGAAGCGTTTTGTCTGTTGGTTAGTGCAGTCTGCAGCTCAGCCCCCATTTCTCCGGAGGAGCCTGCCCTGTGACCTTGTGCTGTTTTGGGGTAGGTGGGGATGGTGGCTTTCAAAATGAAGCTGAAGACCCCTGAGTATCCAGAAGGCCGGGACATTGTGCTCATCTGCAATGACATCACGCACAAGATCGGCTCCTTCGGGCCAGAGGAGGACCTGGTCTTCCTGCGGGCCTCGGAGCTGGCACGGGCTGAGGGCATCCCCCGCATCTACATCGCCGCCAACAGCGGCGCCCGCATCGGCTTTGCTGACGAGATAAAGCACATGTTCCAGGTGGCCTGGGTGGACCCTGAGGACCCCTACAAGGTGTGTGGGCACCTCCCCTCCTGTCATCACAGAAAACAACAGAGGACTTATTTGGAGAAGGAAAGACCAGAGCTAAACTGGGAGATAGAACTGTGGGATCAATGCTGGGGTGGGAGCCCACGCGTGCACCCACTGCTATGGGGATGGTTCCCTCCCCTTTCCCTGGTGAGATGGAGATAGAGGTGCTGGTCACCACTGCTCTGCCCAACCCTGATCTCTGAACTGCTGTTGATGCACGGGGTGGGGTTGGGTTGGAGAGGGGCCATATCCCATGTGTGTGAGTGCACAAGGGAGCTCCACAACTCATCCTCCTCCGTTTTATTTCCAGGGGTTCAAGTACCTGTACCTGACTCCTCAGGACTACACGCGGATCAGCACCATGAACTCGGTGCACTGTGAGCATGTGGAGGAAGGGGGAGAGTCCAGGTGAGCCCCACTGTCCCATGGTCCTGGCTCAGCATCCTGCCAGACACATCACACGAGTCCTTCCCCCACACCACCGTGGCTCCCCCCACACCACCGTGGCTCTGCCATTCCTGCAGGTACGTCCTCCTGGACATCATTGGGAAGGACAATGGATTTGGAGTGGAAAACCTGAGAGCTGCTGGTACCATCGCCGGGGAGTCCTCTCGTGCTTACGATGAAATAGTGACCATCAGCATGGTAAAGCCGTGGGTCCTTCCCCTCTCTGCTCCTTCCCTCTCTTCTACTTGCTTTTAAGGTCACACTGGGGGGAATAACAGGATGCAAGCAGTGACCTGGTGTAACTCCTGCAGAGCCAGGGAGCATTGTCCTCCTGGTGCTCACGGACTCTGCTGCAGCCCTTTCTCCCCAGTAACCACTTGTGTGTGTGTCCCCAGGTGACCTGTCGTGCCATCGGGATCGGCGCGTACCTGGTGAGGCTGGGCCAGCGTGTCATCCAGGTAGAGAACTCCCACATCATCCTCACCGGCGTCACGGCTCTCAACAAGGTACCACGGTCCAACTGCTTGTCCTCCCCAGCCCTGTCCCTCATGCCACTGCATGCACAGGCTCCTTCCCTGTCCCGTGGGAAGAGGTGGCAGTTCCCTGCATGTCACCTCATGGGACCTGTCTGGAGGAGACACAAGGGAACTGCTACTGGGCTTGTCTCACTGTGAGTTGATAAAATGCCACCCCACAGCTCTTTGGTATTGCTTTAGGGACCAGTTAGGGACAGGGCTGGATGGCAGAGCTGCTGTGGGGACTGATCACCTCCAATCCAGGGGCAGGACCCACCTCTGGGCAGAATCACGCTGGTTTGAGCTGATTTGAAACCTGCTCAGCTAAACCCATGCACTTGTCTAAAGCAGGGTCCTTCTGTTTTAACATCAGCCTGGTAGGCAGAGGTGGAAGTTCAGCCTCAAACCAGAGGGAATGTGTCTGTACTGAGGTTGGACTTCATCAGGAGAGGAAGGAGAAGCAGCTCCTGTGTTGGCAGACACCAATCAGTGTTTCTGTTTGTGATTCTGGCCAGGTGCTGGGACGAGAAGTTTACACATCCAATAACCAGCTGGGAGGAGTGCAGATCATGCACAACAACGGCGTTTCCCATGTCACCGTCCCAGATGACTTTGAGGGGGTCTACACCATCCTGCAGTGGCTCTCCTACATACCCAAGGTAGGAGGGCGCTGCAGGACGGTGCTGTGGGGTCTGACCCCACACTTGGTTGGTGACCTGCCCTTCGGGGCTCTGCCTTGCAGGATAACCAGAGCCCAGTGCCCATCACTGCCATAAGCGACCCCGTTGACAGAGAAATCGATTTTGTCCCTTCCAAAGTCCCCTATGACCCCAGGTGGATGCTGGCAGGGAGACCCCATCCAAGTAAGTGAGGGCAGCCCAAGATCTGTGCAGCAACACTCCCAAGTTCATCCCGTGGCTGCAAACCCCCCCATGCTGGTGCAGGAGGTGCTTTTTGCTGTGGGTTGGTGCTCGGGGAGCCCTTCAGCGCTCACTGTCATGCTGCTTCGCTTTCCCCTGTGCTCTGCAGCTCTCAAGGGGACCTGGCAGAGTGGCTTCTTCGACCAGGGCAGCTTCTTGGAGATCATGAGGCCATGGGCTCAGACGGTCGTGGTTGGCAGAGCAAGGTACTGCTGGGAGGAGAGGATGGAGCCCCAGGGCAGAGCGCGATGCGAGGAGCCTGAGTGGGTGGCCAAGCGCATTCAGCCCTGTCTGTGGCTCCGCTTTTGGGATGGTGGAGGGGGAACAACTCTCTGGTGAGGCTGGGGTGCAGTGTGGAGGGGAGCTGGGCTCTGCTGAGGCCGCCCTGCCTCGCTGCAGGCTGGGAGGTCTCCCGGTGGGTGTCATCGCTGTTGAGACCCGTGCCGTGGAGGTGACGATACCTGCAGACCCTGCCAACCCAGACTCAGAGGCAAAGGTGCGTGGGGAGATGTTAGTGAGGCTGAGCAGCGGCTGGGAGGAGGCTGGAGGGGAGAGCAGGGAAAAAGCTCAGCGTCCCCCTTTGCCATGCCGTGATTGTCCTCAGAGGCTGGTGAATCAGGGCTGCTCGCTCAGCTGTTTTCCTTCAGCTCCTTCCCACCGTGTGCTGTGACCTGGCAGCGCAGCGTGCTGGGACTCACCGGTGCCAGTCTCTCGCTGTCTTTTCCAGAGAATCCAGCAGGCCGGGCAGGTCTGGTTCCCAGACTCTGCTTTTAAAACAGCCCAGGCTATCCGGGACTTCAACCGCGAGCATCTCCCGCTGATTGTCTTCGCCAACTGGCGAGGCTTCTCCAGCGGCATGAAAGGTACCCACGCTCGGGGTGCCCACACCTCCATCTGTGCCGTGCTGCTGGCACTCCTGCCACCTCCCAGGTCCTGGGATGACCCCCCCCCCTTGCCAAGGTCCTACCCCCACCCCTCTGAGATGTGGGGTTGGGCTGGGGAGGTGATGGGGCATTGCCAGGTCCCAGGGCTTGGTGACTTTCTGCTGGGCTGGTTTGGGGGGTTTGTTTGGTCTCTCTGATGGAGAAGGTGGCTTTGGGCTCCTAGGAGGAGGGAAGGGACAATAGCCTGGCCCACAGCAGTCAGAGCACCCGGCCGCTGAGTCCCTTTGGCTTTCAGACATGTACGACCAAATGCTGAAGTTCGGCGCCTTCATTGTCGATAGCCTCCGGGATTTTAAGCAGCCTGTCTTGGTCTACATCCCACCACACGCGGAGCTGCGAGGAGGCTCCTGGGTAGTCATCGACTCCACCATCAACCCTCTGTACGTGGAGCTCTACGCAGACAAGGAGAGCAGGTCAGTGTCCAAAATACGTGTGCATCCTCCACAGTCCACGTGCAGAGAAATGAGAGCCAGTGCCTGGGGTCTGCAAAGTCACAGTCCTGCTGGCAGAGACCTCCGGACACTTGAGATGTGTATATTTTAACCCTCGAGTTAATCAAAGCCATCAGCTAAAAATTCCAGGGCTCTCAGGGAGCAGCGTGGCGGGTGTGTCCTTGGGGATATCCTCCTGCATCCAGTGAAGGCTGCAGATGAGTAAAACCCGGTTCTGGGGGACAGGAGGCCTTTTCTCTATCCTAAATTAATGCACTTTGGAGCAAGCTGTAAGGAGTGGGAGGGTAGACGAGAATCCCAGACTGGAAACAAAACCTTTTTAGGTTTTCTGTCTCTCTAATTCTTAGAAGAGAATGTTTCCCGGACCTCTTGTCCCAGGACTTACTCTCCTGTGCACACCAGTCCCTGCTTTACCAAACTTTCCTTCCAGGGGAGGCATTTTAGAGCCTGGAGGAACAGTGGAGATCAAGTTCAGAAAGAAGGATTTGGTGAAGACCATGAGAAGGATCGATGCAGTCTATGCCAAGCTCGTCGAGCAGCTGGGTAAGGGCAGAGCATTCCAGCTTGTGGGTATTGGTAGCAGTGAGTTAAAACATGAGTCTCAAACATCATGGTGGCCACCATCAGGAAATCCTTTACTGTTCCTCTGTGACAATTCTTTATGGCTCTGGTGGAGCCTGCTAACAGGATGTGGTGGTACTTTAAACCACCTGTATCTCCTGGGGACTCTGTAAATGGTGCTGGACTTTTCTCCTGTGCTTTGAGATGAAGAATGGCAATGGCCACACTGATCAGTACCTAATGAGACAACCCATGGTCACTGCAGAGCTGCACAGGAGGTGCCTTTATGCACTGGGTCTCCTTTTGCCCTGTGATCAGCTCCTGCCTGCAGTGGATGGTGGGGCTGTGTGCCCCTGTGCCCCTCCACCCTGCTAAAACATGGTCCCACAGAGTCCTTGCAGATGCCACCTCCCACCTCTCTTGTGGCAAGCGCTGAACACAGCATGGCCCCTTCTTGGCTGTGGTCTTCTGTGGCTGGGCTGTGGGCAGGAGTGTAAACGTGCCCAAGCAAAGGGACATGATGCTGGGAGGTGGGGATGGCTGATGTAGGAGCACTGAGCAGAGCCCACACCCCGTGGTGGCCTGTGGATCCCCTCACAGGGGCGGTGGGTGGGCTGCTCAGCATGACATGTCCCACAGGCACCCCCGAGCTGTCCGAGACACAGCGCAAGGACCTGGAGAAGCAGCTCAAGGCCCGGGAGGAGCTTCTCCTGCCCATATACTACCAGGTGGCCGTGCACTTCGCTGACCTGCACGACACCCCGGGCCGCATGCAGGAGAAAGGTGTCATCACGGTGAGCCGGGGCGTCGGCAGCGCTGGGAAGGGGCTCAGCATGGGAGGTTTTGCAGTGGTGGCACAAAGGTGGGAGGCAGAGTCCCCTCCCAGGGGTCTGGGCTGCAGCTCAACATGCTGCTCCTGCCCTGGGTGCCGCTCTCAGCTCCAGCCCCACCAAACTGCCTTCAAACCCATCGGTGCGAGCTGTGAGCAAGGAGTCACTGCACGTCGGCTCCTCTTCCTTCTGCAAAGGCAAACCTGGGCTGTGTCCCCGCTTCTGCAGGACATCCTGGAGTGGAAGAACGCCCGGTCCTTCCTCTACTGGCGGCTGCGCCGGCTGCTGCTGGAGGAGGAGGTGAAGGTGGAGGTCCTGAAGGCAAACAGCGAGCTGAGCCACATCCACATCCAGTCCATGCTGCGCCGCTGGTTCATGGAGACGGAAGGAGCTGCAAAGGTACCCCCAGCCCCGGCTTCCTGAGGTGTCCCTGCAGCCAGGGGGGTCCTGAGGGGTGTCCCCTTGCTCTCCTGTCACTGGGCTGTTCCATCAGTGCCTCCTTGAGGGTTTAAACGTGTGATGGGAGTGACCATTCTGCAGCCTGTGCCAGGGTGAGGCTGGGGCTGTCTCTTCAAATTGGGTGACCTCACCTGGATGCTGGTGCTCAGCAGTAGCAAGGTGACCCCCAAATAACCATTTTCTACCATCAGATAGGGCTTCTCAGGGCAGAAGTGAGACTTGGGGTCTCTGCATTTGAGCTGCTCTCCAGTACAAGCATGGTGACCCCCACATCGCCCTGCCAGTCCTGCGCTGGCTGAGCTGGGATGCGCGGGCACGTGGAGGGAAACGTGTTTTACTTTATTGCCATTTTAAACAGTTCCCAAAGTTTTAATTTCCAGCCTGAACCTTTGACCCAGCGGCTGTCACACCCGGGTGGGGGATGTGCCATGCTGGGCTGTGCCACATGCACAGAAAAATCCCGTTTTGCCTGCTCTTGTCATGGGAGGAAAAGCCTCCCCCGAGACCACGGCAGAAGCGGGGGCTGAGGCTGTGCAGGCAGCAGGACCCCCTGCCCACGGTGCTGCTCTCCCCAGGGCTACCTCTGGGACAACAACCAGGTGGTGGTGGAGTGGCTGGAGAAGCACATGAAAGAGGATGACAGCACCCAGTCGGCCATCCGGGAGAACATCAAGTACTTGAAGCGGGACTACGTGCTCAAGCACATCCGGAGGTGAGTGGCTGCGGGAGCCGGGAGGTGGAGGGCGATGCTGTCCCCTGGGCTGGGGACAGCAGGTGGTGGAGACGAGGTGGTTCTTGCTTCAGCCTCCAAGGCAAGTTGCCCTCTCCCATCTGCTTTGCAGCTTGATCCAAGCCAACCCCGAGGTGACCATGGACTGCATCATCCAGATGACCCAGCACATCACCCGTGCGCAGAAGGCCCAGGTCGCCCGTCTCCTCTCGACGGTGGATAATGACAGCCCATCTTGAGCCAGTGGCCAGCGGCATGGAGGGCAACTGCCACGGGGCAGGAGGGACACCAGGACACACCGCTGCTCAGAGGCCAGACCTCACCTCCCCACCCGGTTCCTCAGCCCTTGAACTCAAGCCTTGGACTCTTACTCGTGTGCCTAAGTAAAGGATGCCAGTGTCTGTGTTTGAAGCCATGAAGATGGTCTCACCATCTGTGGAAAGTTCCCTCTGGTGCTGGGGGTGTTCGTCAGGGGGGCAGCTTGGCAGAAGATAAACTTGTCCTGAGTCATGTCTGGAGTCTGGACCTGGTGTAGAAGTTGGTTTTAAAAAGAATCTAAAATAATTTACTGTGTTTTAGTCTTTAAAACAAGCATCGGAGTCAGACACGTCTCACGGGACTGGATGGAGCTGGAAGTACAAAGGGACTGGCCCTGACACCATGGGACACAGGACGAAGGAGGAGGTCTCCGTAGGGCCATGTGGAGGCTGCCCAGGAACAAGGAAATGGAACCCTGCTTAAGAGACAGCCTCAGACTGATGTTTTAAAATAAACCCAGGAGCTATGAAGAGCAGTTTGTCTCATCCTTCCCCTTCTTTGGGGGGATCAGTGGATGTGACTATGAGTAGCTCATGGCCCAGAAAAGACATCAGTGAGCTGTGCTGGGAGCTGGTGGAGCAGGAACATCAATGCATCCACCACCGTTTGACTGACCCAACTGTTCTTCTTGCCCATCTCATGTCCTTTTTGCCTCCTGCCACAGCTCCTTCAGGTGTTTTCAGCCTGTGGCTCCTGCGGAGGATGGAGAGGAGGGAGGACACAGCTCTGGGTGCTCCTACCCCAGTGACCTGGTTCCTCTGCTGGAGCACAGGAGCCAGGGTGAGCTCTCCATCCACTCGGACCTGTACCTTGCTTCTTGGGTGGCCTTTAAATCAGCTCGCTTCATGGAGGGGAAATTTGAATGTGAGCTTTCCAGGGGCTGCGTGGCCGCAGCGTGTCACCAGCACAGGTTCAGCTCTGGCTCACAGGGCAGGGCACGATGGCGATGGGAGGTGGGACGCCTGGTTCAGGCACAGTGCTGGTATTGCCATGCTGTGGGGGTGTTGGACACCTCCTTGGTCATGCCTGGGCTGGAGGGTCCCAGCAGGGTCTGTGGGGGGAGGACTCCCTGTCTTGTGGGTGGGGGTGGAAGGGGCGTTAGGAGGTGCTTTCTGGTTTGAAAGGTGTCACTTTGTCAGGGAAGGGGGTGCTGATGCTCACCGGACGGGAGCCAAACCACCGCCAATAAAGTGAGCACAGGTCCCAAGCAGGTTCCCTGATCTCTTTCCTCCGTCACTGTCACACACAGCTGAGCTTTGGCCATTCCTCACCACCCCTAAGTTCCATGAAACGATTTCCTCACTGGGTTGGATTTCCAGTAGCAGATGCCTCAGAATTCGCGTTTAAAGCCGTGTGGCAGGGGCACCCCTGACAGCACAGCAGTTAGAATGCAGCACACCTAGAACGACCCAGGCTTAGCGCTAAGAAATATTTATTTAAAGAAATGAAGACACGATAGATGACGCCAGTCACAGCACATGAGCATTGATCACACTTGTTCTTGAGCAATGAGTGATGCCCTGGAGCATCGTGCCCTTTTGGAAGATGTTGCCGTGGACGTGTGCGCTGGGGAAGACACAGGCACAGATATTTTCTAGCTCCTGCTCTTCACAATTGTGATTTTCAAGCAAAAAGGTGCCCACTGGGGTGGCTCTAGCATCCTGCACCGGCCGGGTCCTTAGTGCCAGGAGCAGTGGGAGAGAGGAGCCTGTGAGCACGGCGGTGCAACGCCGGGACATTCCAGTAACGCACAGGAACAGACAAAACACGAGGTATAAATATCCCTTCAGGGTCACAGAGCTGTCAGTAGACTAAATGCTAAATTCCAACAGTTTGCTTTTTATATTTTCAAATATTTCATCATATTTTTTTGCAATGGATGTTACCAAGTATAAAGCAGGGCTTGAAAATTTAAAAAACTACATTAGAATCAATGTTACTTGGTTCATCAGGAAAGGAAGACTGTTCTGAATCAGTGTGGGTCAGTTATGTTATTTGGTCTCTGAATTTTTTTAAAAAAACTTGAGTTTCACAGTATCAAAAGTGCTTATTTCAAAGAAATGTAGTGTAACAACAGCCATTAACATGGTTGCATTTTAGATTATGAATAATTTAGTGGATGTAAAACAGGTTACTGCAGCATTTTAAAAGATTGAACAGTGCTCAGTTTACATAATTTCTTTATCTTCAAAACAATAAATATAAATAAATTTACAAATAGTAATACTGCCTAGCACAAGAATAGACAGAAGCACAATACACAAGACTATAAACAAATCTAATCTTTTTAAAAAAAAAAAATCCTAAAAATAGGCATAATTCCTAAAATCTTCTAGCCAGTGATCAGTTTAATAACTCAGTAGTACCACTTCCTTCAAGGTGGGGTAAGAACTTTGTGTGTAAACCTGGATACACCAGTTGTCTGCTCTGGGTTTGATTTTTCATTTTTAATATTCTTGCTCCTTTTTTTCCTACCTCAACAATAAATTATCCAGAGTTAGGTCAGAAAAGTGTTAGAGGTGCAAGTGTCTCCAGAAACTGCACGTGGTCTTTGTTCAATGGCAATAGTTATTTGGCAATTTAAGAACAAAATTATACACGTGGTTGATGATCAAGTCTTTTGAACCCCAACTTGGTGCTGACCAGCCCCTGGACTCGTGTTGGCTTCTGTGTAGGTGATCAGTGTCCACACACAAGTCCAGATCACAGTGTTGGTTAAGTGTATTTAACTGAATTGGACTGTTCTTAGCTCAGTTGCATTGTAGTGAGAGTTCCTAGAGTGATGCCTTCCAGGTCCTTCTTCAGAGCTCACCAGTCCTGCAACACAAGTGTCCATGTCCCTTCCTTGGTCTTGCCATGGGTGAAAGTGGTTCTACTAGTGACAGTTTGATTTTGGCATCACATTGCTGTGTCCCAGTAAATAGTCATCAAGCTCCAAGCGTCTGCAGGAGGAGCTTGTTTATTGCTTTCAGGTCAGATTTTAACGGTGGGGAGAAAATGGGCCCCCAGGTCCTCGGTCCTCAGAACGGTGCAAAACTTAGAGCAGAGCGATGGGTTTGTTGCCTTGGGGGTTCATGTACTGAGCTGCTGCAACGTTG